CAGCGCCAGACCCCCGACGTCATATTTTTCGACAACGTCGACCGCCAAAGATCTCGACCTATTCCCCAGGATTTGTTTCTCATCCAGGGCCGTTTTTTGACGGTCCCAGGGCCCGGCGAGGACCCCCAGATGCCGAAGATATCGCAAGGCTTTTCGTCGTGATTTTTCCCACGACGCGAGGGTCACTCCTGCGCGTGTTCGGAAACTGGAGCATATACATTACACCAGTGGCGGGCTGTTTTTCAATCCCAGGGCTTTTCGAGGGTCGGGGACGACGTCGGGGTGGTGTGGTGCATGCTTTTCCCCGGTCTTCGCGGGGAAGCAACGGACAAATGTATACATCAGGAGCATCCCGTGTACACCATGATCCGCCCTCCTGCGCGAATCCCAGTGCGGGGCCGGAAGCAGCGTCGGTGCACACACACATATATAGGTGTATATATATGTGTATATATATATATATATATATATATATATATATACATGCATATTTATATATATATATATATTACATATATGAATATACATATATAGAGAGGAGAGGGAGAGAGAGGAGAGAGAGAAGAGAGAGAGAGAGAGAGAGAGAGAGCGAGAGAGAGAGAGAGAGATTGAGAGGGAGTTTGGCTCCTCACGTGTAGCCGGAGAGAACTGCCGGCGGGAGCCGGGCCTGCTGGCCTCCGTGCAGGGCCGGCACGCGGCGGCCCTCCGGCGCTGGCGGGCAGAGCTGCGGGCCCCGCGCCGGGGCGAGGAGAGGGAGGGGCAGAAGGCGGGGCCCGCAGTCGAGCAGTGGCGAGGCGTCCTGGCTCGCCCATAGGCCCACCAGAGACTGCTCCTAGAGCCTTCTCCTGGCATCGCTCGGACGTGTGCATTTTTTTCTCGGCGAGGACCATCCAGGACCATCCTGGACCATCGAGCAAAAACAAGCACGCGCGAAACCGAAAAATGCACGGGAAATGGACGTCCGAGCGATGGCAAGTCTGTGACCTGCATGAAAGGTTCTCAGAACATTTCTGGCCGGGATGGTTGTCTCGTTTTAGCACGTCGGGCCTATGTTCCAAGACAACTGTTTCTGTGATTCGAAGATATGTCTGAGTCCTGATAACATTTCGTGGTAGGACTATAGGGATGCCGGGGCGGTCGGTCCCTGCTCAACTCAAGAGGCGGGGGGGGACGCAGACGGCGGTCAGTTAGAGCCCCGGGTTTGGGTGCAGGATCCCGCAGGATCCTGCAGAGCCCTGCCGACCCGGGTTTGGACTGACCCGGGCCAGCAGCTCCCCGAAAAAACACGGGGACCATGACCGAGGAGGAGGGCGGAGGAGGAGGGAGGAGGAGGGAGGAGGAGGGAGGAGGGAGGAGGAGGGAGGAGGAGGGAGGAGGGAGGAGGGAGGAGGGAGGAGGTGTGGCAGGATCCTGCCGATGCCGATCTTGATCAAAAGAGTCCCCACATTTCCCCGATCCCAGAGCCCCTCTGGTAATGAGAAAACCGTAGCGGGAGGTTTTTCCCGTGCTCTCGGTCTCTGGAGGCCCTGACCGGCTCCTCCTCCTCCTCCTCCTCCTCCTCCTCCTCCTCCTCCTCCTCCTTTCGGGACCCCCAAGAAACGACTCGGGAGGAACGACCGGCCCATGGGGGATGGGTCGAGGCCTCTGAGGGTCGGCGCTCTGAAGAGAACTCATGACGTCGAGGATGCTCCACGAGTCGACGCTGGCCAAGATCCCGGAGCCCCTCGAGTCACGGCAAAACCATGTCCCCGGAGACCCTGGCGTTGCATTCTTTTCACAGGGGGCGCCTCTGCCAAGCTTCGGGCTCCGGGACCCTCTCACAGATGGATCCGGCTCGAGAGCTGCGCAGCATGACGGGGTCCGCGGCTCCAGGGCTCCAGGCGTGATTTTTTTAGGGGGCCACATGCGAACCCTACCCCTACGTCCCACGATTTCTGAGTGGGAGGGTGGGGTAGGGTTCGCATGTGGCCTCCTATTTTTCCGATGCTGCAGTTTGTTGACGGCGCCAGAGCTCAGGGACGTGAAGTCTGCAGCTATCGTCGGCCTCCGGAGGCCCTGACCGGCCCTCGGGGCCGCCAACAACACGACTCGGGGTGAAAAAAGCCGGTCCAGGGGAACGGGTCGAGGCCTCAGAGGCTCGGCGCTCTGACAACCGTCATGACGTCGGGGGGTCGGGGGTCGCCGATTCGCCAGGATCCTCCACGCATCGACGCTGGCCAAGACCGACGCTGACCAGGGTCATGGTCAGCGTCTTCTGCGCTCGAACGACACTGGCCAAGATCGACGCGCGACGTTTCTGCGCTCCGCCTTGGGTCATGGCCCCCGGCTCTTGGCATCGCTCGGACGTGTGCATGTTTCCGTCGGCGAGGACCATCGAGGAGCATCCTTGACCATTTGGCGAAAAAAACACGCCCGAGACCGAACAAAAAAACACAGGGAATGGACGTCCGAGCGATGGCCAGGGCTCCTTCCCCTCCCCGAGGAGCCCCGGCCGGTGCTCCTCACGCGGAGCCTGCCCCGGCTGCTCGCCGCCACCTCGGCGGCGCGCCCAGGGCCAGCCTCCTCCTCCTCCTCCTCCTCCTCCTCCTCCTCCTCGCCTCCTCCTCCTCCTCCTCCTCCTCCGCCTCCTCCTCCTCCTCCACCCGCCCGGGTCAGCTGGCGCCGCAGTGTTTTTGCGCCGGGCGTCTTCGAACGGTTTCGGGCCCCGGGGCCCTCGCAGCTCTGCGCGGCCCGGAAGATGACGCAGAAAGATGGGGTCGGGGGCTCCTGGTTGTGAGTTTTCGCGATGGTAGATTTGTTCGCGAGATGTGGGAGCTCTGGGGCTGGGGGCGGGGGTAGGGGGGAGGGCTTCTCAGAAGCGCCCTTGCTTCTTAGAAGGCGCGGGGGCCTTGTCTTCAGATGTAGGGCCAGCGCCTTCTAGGAAGCAGCCTCCTTCTAAGAAGCCTTCCTTCCCTCCCCCTACCCCCTTGTGCGCGCCGCCAGCAGGGGGATGGATAGAACCAGAGATCCGAGGCTCCGACATACTTGAAGCGGCCGGTTTTGGGCTACTTTCGGCCTCCCGGGGCCCTCCACGGGCCCTGGGGCTGTCCAACAGCGGCCCAGGATAAAGCACTGGCCTTACCAGGGACGTGGTCCCTAGACCTCCAGGGTCCACGCATCGATCCGGGTGTTGCATTTTTTTCACACCGGGCGGTCTCGCCTTCCTTGGGGCCCTGCGACCCTCACAGGTCATGCGGCTCGAAGAAGAATTGTGCAGAAAGATGGGGTTTAGGGCTCCGGCCGTGAGGCTGCAATTTTTCCGCAACGTCGGGTCTCAGGGAAGGCAGGCCTTCGCAGCTTCCTTGGTGGGGTCCGAGCAGATGGGGTCCGAGGATGTCTCGGCATCGCCGGGGCATCGACGATGTGGCTCGATGTGGAGCCCGATTTTCTCCACGCCGACGTCTTCGACCTTGGCGATGCATCGGCGATGCATCGGCTGCTGGCGATGCGGCACGATTCTCCGACCCCGTCTCCGCGGACTCCATCCACTCCCCGTACGACCCCCCCTGGAACCCCCCCTGAAGGGGCTCCGCCCAAAACACAACGTCATCACTCGTACCTCGCTCTTTCCGTGACCTCTAGGCCCAGACCCCCTTCGAGTCCTGAACGAAGTCGGCACGGGAGGTTTTTTTTTGATGCTTTCGTCCTGGGGCTCCTGCCGGGCTCTTCTGGGCCGTCCGCGGCTCCGGGTGAGAAGCGGGTCCCGGGGAAGAGGTCCAGCCTCTTCGGGGTCCACGGTGCGAGCAATTCACGACGTCGGGGGTCCGGGCAGGGGTGGGGGGGGCCTTCCCAGAGGTCTCAGACAGCCTCCAGCCTTCCGAGAAGCTTCTGGGCTCTCCGAAGCCACGGAGGGCTTCTCAGAAGGCCCCGAGGGCTTCTGAGAGAAGCGCCGCCGCCGCCCTCTGAGAAGGCCTGGCCCCTTGCAGCCCCCCGCACGGAGTCGGTGCATACAGTGACTTAAGGACGGGCAATGGCCCGAGGATGTGCCAGCCAACCGAGAGACGGGGGTCCATGAAAACGGGGTCAGTCGGAGCGCCGGATTTTGCAGGATTCTGCAGGGCCAGGGGTGCATTGACCCAGGCTTGGGCGCAGGATTCTGGAGAATTTTGCAGGATCTTGCAGGATCCTGCAACGCCCGACTGATTCCTGTTTCGGATTGACCCGGGTCAGTACATCCCCGATCGTAGTTTGGTGTGGCGCAGTCGTGTTTTTTGCTCGACATCGCACCGCGATGGGGTCCATTTTGGAGGCGGCTCGGGGGCTTTATCTGGATGGGGCCTTAGAAAATAGGTCAGGATGGGGGTATGAGGCCAGATCCGTTTAAAATTGGTTCAGGACCCCTCCTAGGGTCCATCTGGTGCAGTTTTTCGCCTGGGCACTGTTTGTCAAGGTATGGGGCCTGAAGATAATCTAGGGGCCGACACAGGCAAACATATTTTCCCGGACCGAGGACATCGAACTTGCCCGCCCTTCCTGCTGGCTAGAACCAGTGCTGGGCCACCTCAGACCCCAAGACGACTCCAAGGTCCATTCCATCGGTCGCAAATCATGAGAGCCTTGTGTTACCCTCGTAATTTTGTCTTTAGCGTCGATTAGAGTCTCGCGGAGTCGATGAGGTAGCGCCGATTTAGCGCCAGTTAGCGTCGGTTAGCGTCGATTGGCATCGACTAGCGTCGATTAGCGTCGATTAGCAAGAGCCGACGAGATGGTATGGGAGGCTCCCGTGAGTTGCCACCGAACAAGACGGCTCCAAGGTCTGTTCTGTTCCCCAAAGACTAGCAGGCCGTATGCGAACCTTACCCCCCCCCCCCGCGATTTCTTGGGGGGGGAGGCGGGGTCGGGTTCGCATGTGGCCTCCGAAAGACGTCTCCAAGGTCCATTCCGTTCCCCTCTCGCTTCCCTCCTCCTCCTCCTCCTCCTACTCCTCCTCCTCCTCCTCCTCCTCCTCCTTCTCCTCCTCCTCCTCTCCTCCTCCTCCTCCCTCCTCCTCCTCCCCCGCCTCCTCCTCCTCCTCCTCCTCCTTCTCCTCCTCCTCCTCCTCCTCCCCTCCTCCTCCTCCTCCTCCTCCTCCGCCTCCTCCTCCTCCTCCTCCTCCTTCTCCTCCTCCTCCTCCTCCTCCTCCTCCTCCTCCTCCTCCTCCTCCTCCTCCTCCTCCTCCCCCCTCGACGCCCCGCCGAGCCATGCCCGCCATACTGTGCGGCCGGGCATCTTCATCGGGCGGCCGGAAGTGCTCGCGGGCAGCCCCGGCCCAGGCCCAGGCCCAGGCATGCGGCGCCTCGAGCAGAAAGCTGCTGCGGCCGGCTTCTCGTCTTAAGTCGGGCATGTCCCTCTGCAGGAGGATTAGTCAAGAGATGTCAAACTAAAATTTGGGGACGTTTTTCCCATCATCTTGTTTTTTTATTTATTATTATTACTGTTATTATCATTTGTATTATTATCATTATTATTATTATTATTATTAATATTAATATTATTATTATTATTATTATTATTATTATTATTATTATTATTATTATTTTTTATATTATTATTATTATTATTCTTAATATTATTATTATGATCGTTATGATTATTATGATTATTATGATTATTATGATTATTATGATTATTATGATTATTATGATTAGCATGATTATTCTGATTGTTTTGTCCACTATTTAAGATCCGCCTGTGGGAGGGCATGCATGTACTTCTCGTCGTGGTGGGCCTCTCTGGGCAGGGCGGCGAGATCTGCTCGTACCCACCGCCGCTGGCCAGGCGCTTCCTGGGCTCGGGAGCGGTGCACACGCCCCTCTCGCGCGGCCGGGGGGGCCTACGGGGCCCCGGATGGACCTGGCCAGCCGCAGTGCATCTGCGCCACCCTCGTCGCCCTCATTACCCGGAGGACCTTTCCCAGGCCCGTGGGCTGCCGCAAAGCGCCCTGGGGAGAAGAAGCCGGCCCCCGGGAAGGCGCCGGGAGGTCCGTGGGGCCACTCATCGAGCAGATCCAGGGGCCAGATGCCCGGGGAGGGAACAGTCGGGCGGGGCCAGGACCAGGATAGCGCGTTCCGGAGCGTTCCAGAACGCTCCCAGAGCGCTCTGGAGCGCTTTGGCACGGCGGCTGCGCCAGATGCATCCTCCAGAGCCGCCAGATCTCAAGGATCACTGAATTACCCCAGTCCGATTATGTCCCGGTCCTGGCTTAGTCATGCAATGTTAGCCCCAGAATGAGAAAGTGGGGGAAAAGCTCTCACGGCGGCGAAAGATTTAACGTTCTTCCCCTGCTGATGCTGCGGCTACGGAACTGCAGCGTTTCGAGCTGTTGCTGCCTGCTGTCTAATGGCCTTCGGCCCATCCCGCCACCGTTCCTGGGTTGTTTGTCTGAGGCCTCTTGGATGGTCGTTGGGATCTCCTCCAGGCCTTTCCGGGGCCTTTCGGAGGCAGTTGTGAGGCTTCTGGCGGCTTGGGGCCTCTTTTGGGCGTCTTGGGGGCCTCTTTGGGCTTCGTGGGGACCTCTCGGGGGCTTCTTGGGGCCTCGTGGGCGATTCTTGGGGCGGAAGGTTCGGATTCTCGGTTCGTATTCTGCCTCGTTGGAGCTCTCTTGGGCCTTCTTGAGGCCCACTTGGGCCCCCCTGGGGCCGTCTTAAGGCGGTTTTGGGGGCCTCTTGGGCCGCTTGGAGCTTCGGGAGCTAGAAAAGTAGAAGACCCCGAAATCATTGAAAAACATAGGAAAATCAATCATTGTGCCTCTCAGGGCCCTCTTGGCGAGGCTCTTGGGGCTCTCTTGGGGCGTCGCGGAGGCCTCTTGGGCGGTCTTGGGGCCATCTTGGGCGTCTTGGTGCGATCTTTGGGCGTCTCGGGGCCCTCTTGGACCGTCCTGAAGGCCTCTTGAGGCCATCTTTGCCCGTCTTGGGGCGTTCTTGGACCTGACAAATTTATACGGGAAGCCGCCCCAGAGCCCAGGGGTCACGCGGCATAAAGCATTTGTTATTCTTGGCCCCATCGGTTTCTTACACCTCTTGGACTCGCATTAAACATGGACAGGCAGGGCATCTTCTGTCGCCTTCACCTCGCCCTCCAGGGTCCATTTGATCGATCCGATTCGGTGTAAATTTCAGCTGGCCCGATCCGACTCGATTCCGATATTCTCACGATCCGATTCTATCCCGACTCCGTGCCGATGCGGCCCGATTCGATGCACACTCCGATCCGACCCGATTTCCCGATTCGATGTTGACTGGTCCTGCCTCCCACTGATTGCTTTGCATCTTCGTGCTTTCCTGTCCTGCAAGTGTCTCTCTCTTTCTCTCTCTTTTTTCCTGTGCTCCGACGTGGGTTCGACGCGGATTCAACGTGCATTCGACGAGGGATTTCGACGTGGCGTAATCCTTCCGACGCAGACCTCCCAGTACTTGCCTCCCGGCAGCACATCGGCGGCACCCCAGCATGCTAATACTGTGTGTGCGTCGCCCCCCCCCAGGG